ATTTTATTTAATTGAGAGCCCAACCATTTAAGTGGATGAGACCCTCAAAGCAGAGAAGTGCTACCAAATTAATGTAACTGTAATGGAAAATCTACACAGACCCAGTATTTACAGGTGGAAACAGACACTGAAATTCAGAGAGCGTGCGCAATGCACTTTAAAGACTCTTGTTACTAAGGTTTTCCATGATGGGTTTGGGGACATTATTATCTTCCATATAATGTCCTTGAGTTGGGGGGCGGGGGTTGACCGTTAAGTAGAATCACTGCAGAACAAACTGAGTCTTGCGTGATGTTTTGGTGTTTAAAGATGTAATGACGATATGAGAACAGTTCACGACCATCTCAAGTCTATCAAATTAAGGGAGGAGGAGGAGGGAGTGAGGAAGAGGAAGATAATCTAGATTAACAACCATGGGAAGTCAAGGTTGTCGTGGGTAGAAGAGAGGGTGTGAGGCTATTTCAGGTGGTCAGCCCTTGGGATTGAGCCCAAGGGACAGGGCAAGTAGAGCAGAAGACTACTCAGTCTCCTGAAAAATAAGGGTCCTCGTAAACTAGTCTGTTTTCATCAGCTTTGGCTGCTATAACAAAAAACCATAGACATGCAGATGTCAGCTAATGCTACGGTGGCAGTCATACTGCGATACATAAAGGGATCAAATCAACATGTTGTATACCTTAAACTTACACAACGTATGTTAACTATACCTCAATTTTTTTAAAAAGGAGGTAAAAAAAATGTACCATAGACTGGGTGGTTTATAAACAACAGAAATTTATTTCTCACAGTTCTGGAGGCTGGAAGTCCAAGATCAAGGCACTGGCAGATCTGGTGTCTGCTGAGAACTCCCTTCCTGGTTCACAGACCTCTGTCTTTTCACGTGGTGGGAGGGGTGAGGAGTTTCCAGCATTTCTTTTATAAGAGCACTAATCCTATGCATGAAGGCTCCATCCTCATGACCTCATCACCTCCCAGAGGCCCCTTCCCCTAACATCATCACATTGCGGGGTTAGGTTTTCAACATATGAATTTGCAGGGCACAGACATTCAATCTATCAGATAGTCTATGGCAAGAGCACAGGGGAGCTACACTCTAGTGCCCCGAAGTTCCCTCTCCAGTCCTAGTGTGCTTTCTCAGGCACTGGTAGCCTGATTTTCCAGGAAGCAGTAACTTCTCCTTCTACATAAGCACTGCTTCTCTCTTCCACGTGCCCATGCAACTGGCTCTTCCTCCTGTCCCTATAACCATGGGAGGTCCCAGCACCTACTCATCCTTTCTCCCCTCCCCTCCTCCAGATCTTCTGTTCCTGTTGGTGGCATCAAATCTCTCTTCTTTTACCCACGGCTGAAACAAAACCCATCCAAGGAAAGCTAATATTTTGCCATTCACTCAAGTCCATAGTCTATATTAATTTTTTAAATTTCTAATGAAAATTTTCTAATATTACAGAAGGAAGAAAAATAGTATGATGAAGCTCCATGCACCCATCACCCAGCTTCAACAATTATTAACAAAAAGGCCAGTCTTCATTTTATCCATATTCCCAACCATCCCACCGACCCAGTGGGTTATTTTAAAGCAATTCAAAGACATTGTATCTTTTTATTCACAAATCTTTCAGCAAGCCCATAGTCTTTAGATAGCTGTTCTGTGTTATTGGGAGGGGAGGTTGAATGCTGTGTGTGGAATGGATGGAGAAAGAGGCCCTCTAGTGGACTGATCTTTAATTCCTTTTCTATTGTTTCCCAACAATTCAGCTTGGACCCAAATTTGCATGGCCCCCTCAACAAGTCATGTGTTGTTTCCTGCTCAGCATCTGAACTCCCTTTCTAAGTTTGGGCTGTCCACCCCTATGTGATCCATCCCTGTGTGATTCTTGGTGAAAGCAGAGTTTTATTCCTTTGATGAAAGCTGAAAAAGTTAAACTTTGCTTCGTCTGATCCCAGGGCACTGGCTATGACCCAAGCTCAGCCATTTGGATGCTCTTACCAGGGATTTGAGTTTGGAATAGATAAACCATGGTACATAGAAGGACTAAAGGAATAGCAGGGTGGCTGGTGCTTAGAGAGTGAGCCGATTAAGTGTGAGATGAAGATGGAGAGGTAGACACGGATGACACTATGAAAGTCCTGTCGGCCATGGGAAGGACTTTGGCCTTATTGTAACTTGGCATTGATACCTGGAGTGATAAAAAGTACGTGTTTATCAAGATTACTGGCTGCTGTGTAGAAGACAGATTAGAAAGAAGACAAGATGAAGCAGACGACTCGGTTAGAAGCCTACAGTAGCCTTCCAGGAGGGGAAATAATATTAAGTGGGGCTAGAGTGGTTTCAGGGAGGTGAAGAAAAGTGGAAGAATTTGAGAGATATTTTGCAGGTACAATTGATGGGACTTGGTTTCCCTAATTTCCAATTCCTCTAACAGTCACAGAACAGTGTTGATTCCATGATGTCATTGTTCTGAACTAAATGCTTCAGGGGTAACAATAACAGCAAATGTAATAGTAACAACAACAACAATAATAATATAAATAGCAATAGCTAACATAAATGTAGCTCTTACTACGTGCCAGCCTCTGATTGAAACACTTTACGTATTTTAACTCATTTAATCCCCACAAAAATCCTGGAGGGAGGTATGATTGGGGTTATTCCCGTTTTACAGATGAAAAGCTAAGACAAAGAACGATTCAATGACTTGCAGAAGATCATATAACATACTTACTGCATCAAATATGAACTTGGCCCCAGAATCAGTTTCTGGTCCTCTCTTTAACCTCTTTCCCCACCACTCCCCAACTTGCCCCATCCAATCCAGTATGCTGACTCACACAAATAGAGCCTATTTTTTACCTGGGATTCACACACATGGCCTATGGTCTTCTCTCATTCCTGCACATATGGTATGATTACATTTATTCGAAATGTCTAGATAGGCAGATGCCTAGAGAGAAAGCAGCTTGGTGGTCGCAGGATTGCCCCACCTGGCACACAGAAGGTACTCACTCAATAGTTGTGAGTTCCCTGGTTGGATAAAGCCCTTTTCCCGTCTCCCCCCTACCCTCTTCTGGAGCCTGTGTCATCTCCCAGAAACAAGGAGATCTGTGAGGAGAAGATGTTCCTACAAAGTGATCTGAAGAAAAGTACTGTTTTTACAACAGGCAAAACAACAGGGAAGGTGGAAACAACCTAAAAGTCCATCAATGGATGAATAAACAAAATGTGGTCCATCCTTACAACGGGACATGATTCAGCCGTAAAGAGGAAGGAAGCACTGACACAGGCTACAACACAGATAAACCTTAAAAACATGATGCTAAGTGGGAGAAGCCAGACATAAAAGGCCACATAGTCTATGATTCCATTTATATGACGTGTTCAGAACAGGCAAATCTGTAGACCCAGAAAGCAGATTCGTGGTCACAAGGGGCTGGGGGCAGAGGGGAATGGAGGGTGACTGCTAACGGGTACAGGGTTTTATGGGGAGGTTAATGAAAATGTGAAATTAGAGAGTGGTGATGCTTGCAAAACCTTGTAAATGTACTAAAAACTACCGAATGGCACACTTTAAAAGGGTTAATGTCACTGTGTGTGATCTACAGCTAAATAAAGAGAACAGAATCCCTCCAAAAGAAAGAAGATGCTAGAATGCATCCCCGCCAAATAAACTGAACTCCACGCACTCTCCGTCCAACACCAGTCTAAAGAAACTATAGGGGACAAACATATTAAAGGTGAAATTTCACAGTGGTGAAATCATCAGAATCCAGACTGAGAATCTCTAAAAGGCAAATAATCCTGTTTCATCAACTAATAGATTTCAAGGGAAGGAGAAAAAAAAAAAAAGAGATGGAGGATTAAAAGAGACTGAGGGACATATCAACCAATTGCAATATGTAAACATTATTTGGATCTTGGGTTAAACAAACAAACTTTAAAGAAGTAAACTGATGAGACAATTGAAATTTTGAAGACTGGATATTTGATATGAAGAAATTAATTTTTTCAAGTGTGATCACGATACACCCAGTCAGTGACTAGACCAAGGTCACAAAGCAGAGAGGTCTGGATGCTTAAGCATCAGGATCAACTGCCTCTCCCTACATTTTTTAAGATTGTAAGCATTCTCCTAAGCACTCAGGCTCATCATTTGCGGGGGGGTCACCTTGGACCCTTGCCTCCTCTTTCCCTTCCTAAAGTCATTTTCATCCCTTCCACTCTCCCATCCCTTTCCTGCCCTGGTCCCGAGGCTCAGGCTGCAGGCTGGCACTGTGGCTCCTCTTTCCTTGTCCCCTCCCAGCAGACTCTCAGTACATCTTTGCTACCTTGAGGGTAAAGTTGCCCCAATCTGGGCATTCATTATTTATCCCTTAGTTCAGCATGGGCACCCACTGGGTTCAGCTCCATCCCTCCCGCTGTGCTACCCTAAGCAAGTTACTTAACCTCTCGTGGTGAGTTGAATGGTGCCACCCCTCCTGACACACACCCTCCCCCCCCAAGAAAAAAGCTATGTTCACATCCTAATCCCTGGAACCTGTCAATGTGACCTTATTTTTCAAAGTGTCTGTACAGATATGATTAAGAATCTTGAGATAAGATCATTCTGGATTGTGTGGGTAGGTCCTAAATGTAACGATAAGTGTTCTTATAAGAGATTCAGAGGAGGAGACAGAGATACAGAGAAGGCCAGAGATTGGAGCGATCCTGCCACGAGCTAAGGAAGCCGGCAGCTGGAAGTGGCCAGGAAGGATCCTCCTCTAGAGCCATCAGAGGGAGCAGGGCCCTGACAGCACCTTGATCTCAGACTTCCCGCTTCCAGAACTGGTGGAGGATGTTTCTGTTGTTTCAAGTTACCAAGTTTATGGCAAGTTGTTACAGTAGCTACAGCAAGTTAATGTCCCTCCCTATTCCTCACTGTTCTTGACTTAGGGGGGGGATAATCATAGGTCCACTTTATTGGATTCCTGTGCACAGATCTGACCCCAGGTTTAGCACTTACCAGCTTGCCTGGCCTTGGGCGAGGGACTTGGCTTCTCTGTGCCTCAGTTTCCTCTTTTGTAAAGTAGGGAGAATAATACTTCTTTGGATGTTGTAAGGCAGCAGTTCTTCAGGGACCTTCTTCCGAGGGCACTCTTAAGAACCATTGAAGCCCCTAAAGAGATTTTGTTAGATATGTTATATCTATTGATACCTACTGTAACTAGAAATTTAAGCTGTTTTTTAAAAATTAATTTAAAATAGACACATGACATGTTAATATGAACTTTCTTTTTAATATTTATTTTTATTTATTTACTTGGCTGTGCCAGGTCTTAGTTGTGGCATGCAGGATCTTTAGTTGCGGCATGCAAACTCTCAGCTGCGGCATGCGGGATCTAGTTCCCTGACCAGGGATCGAACCCCGGGGCCCCTCCATTGGGAGCACGGAGTCTTAGCCACTGGACCACCAGGGAAGTCCCTAACATTAATATTTTTTAATAAAAAATAACCATGCTTCAAAACAAACAAACAAGTACCAAGGACAGTGGCATTGTCTCATATTTTTGCAAATCTCTTTAATGTCTAGCTCAGACATCAGAGAGCTGGACCCTCAAATCTGCATCTGCATATTCAGTCAATCACGATATGCTGGTCTGTGTTTCAGTATATGAAGAACATCTAGCCTCTCACTGATATATAGCCGGCAAAAGGGACCTCGTAGAGACACTTTGGGTATTGGGGAACCCTGGTGGTCTTCAGGCCACACTTTGAGAAGTAGTGGAGTAAATGAGGAGATATTTGTAAAGTACCTAGAAAAATGCCTGGCCATAGTAAACACTCTGCATTTTTAAACTAAATGTAAAGCCAAAGCTCGATGCATTTTAAACCTTAAAAAATTTTAGTTTTAATTAACATGTGTCAGGTTGGGGTGGGTTTTTACAGCTACAAGGGCGTTCAGGGATTTTTTCTGACTTCAAGGAGCTTACAGTCTGATGCGGGGAGGAGTATGTGTAACCACAGTTAAAACTATGCAAAGAGCAGTTTTATGGGAGTAGGAGGCGGATGTGGGGATACACAGGAGGGCGCCTAATTACGCATGCGTGGGGTGGGGGGCTGTTCAGGGAAGGCTCGCCTGGACGCGGAGGGGTGGTCTGATGGACAGGTGGATCTAGCCAGGTCAGAAGGACAGAGGGCTTGGGACAAGAAAGCTGAAATCCAAATCCCGGCCTCACCTCCTCTGTGAAGTGGTTTTTAGGTCACAAGGAGCCGCTAATAGACGTGGCTGGCGGGCAGCGCAGCCCGGCCGCTTAAGGACCAGAGGACCCCTCGACCCTTCTGCCCCTCTCCCGGGCGCCTCTCCTGGAGCGCCGGGCCTGGCGCCGCCAGGTCCGCCCGGTGACCTGGTCGGACGGGTCTACGAGCCGTGGGGTCCTCGACTCCTCCCCAGGATGGGCCGCATCCCGAAGTGCACCTCTTGAGCCCTCCATTTCTCTCCAGCGCAGGGGCCGCCCCAGACACTGTGAATCGTCCAGAGAGACCAGCAACCCACACCCCTACCACCTCCTCCCCTTCTCTTCTGGGCTAGTCTCGACTCCGCCGGGGCGGGAGTGGGAGAGGAGGAGCCAGGACCTGACTGGAGGAGGGGCGGCGCGTCCAGACGCGCGGTGGGGGGGGACCGGCTGGAGCGGAGTGGGGAGGGGGGGAGGGGAAGGAAGGTCCCGCGGGTGGAGCGGCGGGGCGGGGGGCTGCGGAGCCGGTGGGTGAGGGTGCGGTGTCCGCGGGGACGCTGGGGCGCCCTCGGGCGGCGGAAGCCGGGCGCGCCCCTCTCCAGGCCGGGATCGGGGCGGGGCGCGCGGTATCCCCGCGGGGGGAGCTAATCAGCTGGCGTCGCCGCCGCCAAAGTTTCCCGGAGGAGCCACGGCCGCCCTTCCTTGCCAGGCCCCGGGCGTGGGGACTAGCCGCCGGCAAGGACTGTTTCAGAGGGCAGCAGGGCCCGCTCTCCAGCCAGACCCCGCGCCTCCATTGCGCCCAACTCAGATTCCCAACTTGGGAGGCGCCGCGGGCCTGCGCACGCGCGCGCCTTCCTCGCCTCCTCCTCCTCCTTCTCCTCGTTCTCCCCCCACTGGGGAGCAGGCTCCGGGCCGAGCCGGGCGCAGAGACCCGCGCCCCGCGCGCTGACCCCCGGCTCCCGGCCCGCCGCCTCCGCCCATGCCGACGCCCGCCGCCCCCCCGGTGCGCCCTCGCTCGAGGGCCAGCTAAGCGCGGGCCGGCGGCGGCGGCGGCGGCGAGAGGTGGGCCCGGCCCGGCGCTGCCCTCGACAGCGGCAAGTTTGGGAGTTGCACTAGTTTGCAGGGTGGGGGAGAGGCCGGGCGGGGGGCCATGGAGGAGGACCGGGGGTCGGCGTTGGCGGCCGGGTCGGCGCTGGAGAAGAACGTGGCGGAGCTGACCGTCATGGACGTGTACGACATCGCGTCGCTCGTGGGCCACGAGTTCGAGAGGGTCATCGACCAGCACGGCTGCGAGGCCATCGCGCGCCTCATGCCCAAGGTCGTGCGTGTCCTGGAGATCCTGGAGGTGCTGGTCAGCCGCCACCACGTCGCGCCCGAGCTGGACGAGCTGCGCCTAGAGCTGGACCGACTGCGCCTGGAGAGGATGGACCGCATCGAGAAGGAGCGCAAGCACCAGAAGGTGGGCGGTGGCCTCAGTCTGCCCATCCCGGCAACGTGGCCGCTGGGACCTAGGGGTCCTTCAGCACTGGGCAACTGTAGGTGCACACGTGTGTATACAGGGAATAGACGAGAGACGATCGGACTGGGTGAGGGAAGGAGGGAGGCCGCTGGCCCTCTTTTGCCCAGCCTGCGCACCCCCAGAGATTAAGAGTAGTTCTTTGGAGTCAGACCTGAGTTCCAATCCCACCTTTACCACTTAATAGCCGTGTGACCTTGAGTAAGTTATTTAACCTCTCTGTGCTTTATTTCCTCACATATCAAATGGTGATACTAATAGGACCCACCTTATGAAAATTAAATGGGATACTATCTAGAGTGCTTAGATAATATTATTCTTTTCCAGAAATGAAATAAGCGCCCCTGCCCTTCAGTGTTACCCGAGAAGATGTGATACCGGGCCGCATTCTTCATCCCACTCCAGAGCCCTCCAGAGCCAAGGGGATGTGACCTCCAGTCACTGAGCTTATTGACCGCCAGTCTCTGGGTTCTAATTTTCAAAAAGGAGCCCTGAACCCCAGTCCAGGGTTCCTCCTAGTTTATTAACCTGAGGTGGTTTCCCCACCTCGATTTTACTCTGCGAGGTAGGGATTATTCTCTTCATTTTACAGATTAAGAAACTGAGGATCACAGTGGGGCCGGGGGGGATTTGTCCCAAGGTAGTGCTGAGAGTCTCAGCCCCAGTGGAGGTAATTCTAGTGCCTCTTCCCCACCCTCTTTGAATTGGAGGAAGATGATTTGGGGCAGCTTTAAGGCTAAGCCTCTGTCTTGTGAACAAGCGCTGGGCTCATGAATCAGGGACTCCTCACTGGGCCGGGAGTCCAGACAAGGTGCCTGGGGAGAAGGAAGTGGGAGACGTGTGGTTTCCTGCCCCAACCTCAGCCCAGGGACGCTCCCTTCAGACTGAGAATGGGAGGAAACGCTTTTCCTTGGGGGATCAGGGCGTCTGAGCAGACTCTGACTTGCTGTGTGGCCTCAGGAAATCCAGTTGACCTCTCTGAAACTCTCTGGCCAGCCATCACATACTGTGTACTTTGAGGTCTGTGTCTTTTCAAGGAACAGAGCCCCGGCTGTGTTTGCAGTCTTAACCTAAGGGCAGACCCCTGGGTGATTAAGAGAACTAGTGTTCTGGAGGTTTGATTGTGTTTGCCCCCAAAGGTCCCTATGCGCTGGGGTCAGGTAGGAAATTCAAGCTCCCAAGCCTTAGGCAAAGTTTCCAGGATCACACTGGGAGCTTGAAAATGTCCCTGCCCTGTAATTAATGTCAAGATTCCCAGGAGCAGGGACTTGGGAGCTAGATAGCCTGGTTTCAAGCCCTGTCACTCGCGGGCTGTGTGATCTTGGGCAAGTCACCTAGTCTCTCTGTACCTCAGTTTTCTCAGCTGTGAAATGGGGATAATAATAGTACCTATCTCATAGGATTGTGGTGAGAATTAAAGTGCTCAGGACAAAACTTGGGCCATTTCGAGGGCCTTACCACTGTTAACTATTGTTTTTAGGCTGGGAGAGGTTTTCACCAAGGGCTCTTAGGCTGATATTGGAGACACCACCCCCACCCCAGATACCCCTACTCCTACCCCAGATCCTTCCATCTCTCCCGGGGGGCTGCGGAAGGAAGGGACCTTGAGATCCTCTCATACAACTGCCTCTTATTGACAGGGACTAAGGGACTTAGCCCAAGTCACACAAGAAGTCCTGGCACCTATGTCCCCACCCCAGCACTTTAGTTCTGCCGCAGCCAGACTGGCAGACACCCTTGAGAGCCATTGGAGGCCACTAGGCCTGGAGTCAGGTGGAATTCCCAGCCAGCTGCACTTGTCACTTCTGGAATGCTATCAGCCAGGAAGTAAACACCAGTGTGTTCAAAGCCAGCGCTCATTTGTCAATACAGAGGACGATCTTTTCTAATTCGGAGGACAAAATCCTTTTTTTCCCCATCCCCGCTTCAGTCCCCTTTACTTCATATTCTTGGGATCAAGAGAGACTTGTCTGATTCCCCTCACCCCGTAAGCCTCAAAGGCTCTTCAAGGTGTTATTTCCACAGAAATCTTAGCATGTCCTTCATCTTATCTGTCTATCCCTTCATTCCTCCCTCCCACCTTCCCTCCCTCCCTTCCTTCCTTCCTTCCTTTTTTCTTCCTTCTCTCTCTCTCTCTCTCTCTTGACAAATATGGCTCCAGTAAAGCCTGCACCCTCTCTTCCACCAACTCTTCCTCGCAAAAGATCCCTGGACTCAGCTCTGTTCATCACTCAGACCTAGGCCACAGTCTCATCATGTTCTACCTGGTTACTCCATCTGCAGCCTTGTTGACCGACTGCAGCTTGCAAAGTGCCTTTCGAGGTGACTTGGGTGATGCAAAGGAAAGGAAAACCAGGTCCTCATCTCAGGCAGTGGGTGGGTAACAGGGAAGACAGGAAAAACACGCGAAGAGACTTTAGAAAGCAGTGGCTGTGCAGATACAAGTGCATATAATATAAACAGCATACGTTGTTCATTTATTCATTCAACAGATATATTTATTGAGTACCTACTAATTGCCAGGCACTGTTCTGGGCGACAGTGGCGACCACAACAGGTGAGGTCTTTACCCTCAAGGACCTGACTTTCTAGTGCAGTGCTGTCCCATAGATATATAGTGTGGCATGTCACATTGATAAAAAGACACAGATGAGGTTAATTTTTATTTTTTTGGCCGCACCAGCAATTGAACCCGGGCCCTCGGCAATGAAAGTGCAGAGTCCTAACCACTGGACCTCCAGGGAATTCCCCAGATGAGGTTAATTTTAATAACATATCTTATCAAACCCAGTCGTTCCAAAATATTATTTCAACATGTAATCAATGTAAAAAAATATTTTTTTATTGAGATATAATTGACATATAACATTGTATTTGTTTTAGGCTTACATTATGATTTGACATATGTACGTATTGCAAAATGATTACCACATAAGTTTAGTTAACATCCATCGCCACACATAGTTAAAAAAAATTATTAATAAGGTATTTTGCATTCTTTTTTTCCTATTATGTCTTTGAAATTCAGTGAGTGTTTAACCCTCACTGCATGTTTCAATTCAGACCAGTGGCATTTCAAGTGCTCAGCCGATACATGTGGCTAATGGCTACTCTAATGGAATGGTGTGATTCTAGTGTGAGGAGATAGATTTTTTTTAACTTCTAAAAAATTTCAGCTTATGATAAGTACCATGAAGAAGATAAAACAGGGAAATATAAAAGAGACTGGCCAGGGATGGTGTCTAGTTGATGGGGCAGTCAGGAAGGCTTTCCTGAGGAGGTGGCATCTGAGCTGAGATCTGAATGAAGTGTAGATGCCAGCCATAGAGAGATCTGGGGGAGGGGCATTCTGGGCAGGAGGTGCAGCCAGTGCAAATGCCCTGAGGTAGGAGTGAGCTTGTTGTGTACAAGGAACACAAAGAAGGCTGGTGTGACAAGAGCAGAGCGAGTGAGGAAGAGGGGTAGGAGGTGAAGTCAGGGAGGTACAGGGGTCTACTAATGCTGGGCCTCACAGGCCAGCGTAAGGAGTTTGAAGACAGTGCTGAGAGGAGGCTAACGAGGTGATTGGTCAGGGGCCACTTCCTGGAAGAGCCTTTTTAGCTGGTATCGAGGCAAGATCAAATTCTCCATGGTCAGCTCAGAGGCAAGAACCAGCTCCCCCAGCATCAACTTTAGTTCATTGAGAGAAGAAAAAAAAGAACTGAGGATTAAAGTCTGTATTCATCTATTGCTGCTATAACTAATTACCACAAACTTACTCAAAATCACACAAGTTTATTATCACATTGGTAATATGATATGAATAATATCAATATGGGTAATACCGGATAAAATTCTGGAGGTCAAAAGTCAGAAATGAGTCTCACTTGGGTTAAAATCGGGTGTCAGGAAATTCATTCCTGCGGGCAACTTTAGGGGAGAATCCATTTCCTTGCCTTTTGCAGCTCCTGGGAGCCAGCTGTATCCTTTGACTTGTGACCCCTTCCTCCATCTTCAAAGTCATCAGCGTAGCATCTTCAAATCTCTAACTCTGACCTCTGCTTCGCGACCCGGGGAGCCAACCCTCGCCCCCTGCAGTGGAAGCACAGAGTCTTAACCACTGGACCACCAGGGAAGTCCCCACGTGGTCTCTGATTCTGCCCTTCCTGCCTCCTTTCACTTTTAAGGACCCTTGTGATTACATTGGGTCCACCGGGATAACCAGGAGCATCTCCCCGTCTCAGGGTCCTTAACTGAATCACATCTGCAAAATCCCTTTTGCCGTGTAAATTTCCATATTCTCAGGTTCCAGGGATGAGAATATGGACCTCTCTGGGGACCATTGTTCCGCCTACCCCAGCCAGTTACACTTGAGATAGCACTGGGGCCCTCTGTGTGCTCAGCCTGTGTCAGGTGGGAGCAGAGCGGACCAGGGCAAGAAGAGCCTGATTCAGCTTCCAGCCCACACCTGCCTGTGGGAAGGTCCCGTGGCCACTTCATCATTCCACCACCACTTTCGCCCTCTGGCCCCACCCTTCACCTCCCCTGGTGACCTTGAAGCAGCTGTGCGAATACTTAGTTATTACCTCTCATTTCCCCAGTGCAGCGGGCTTCCTGACAAAGGAGATAGGATTTAGGAACTTATTTAAAAGATGAAAGGAGGCGATGCTGACATCCGGCCACCTGGGCCGGCTTGGGATGGGCTGTAAGAGGACCAGAAATCAGCAGACATATGTTTAGCACTTTCTGGGTACTGGGCCCTATTCCAAACATCTACATATATTAACCATTTAATCCTCATGACACCCCACGGGGGTAGATATAGCACTGTATTCCTCATTTCCAAGGCACCCTAAGGTTGAATAACTTGTCCAAGATCAGCTAGTAAGTGGCGGAAACAGAATTCAAACTCAGGTCAACAGGCTCCAGTATCCATGCTTTAAACCAGCATTCTATACAGTTTATGATTTTACAAAATACCTCTTTTTTTTTTTTTTTTGGTAACAGCTTTACTGAATATAATTCACATACCATACAATTCACCCATTCAGAGCATACAGTTCAGTGGTTTTTAGTTTATTCACAGAGCTGTGCAACCATTACTACAATCAATTTTAGAACATTTTCATTACTCCGAACAGAAAACACAGACTCATTAACAGCCATTCCTCACTCCCTGCCAACCCTTCTGCCCCTAGAAAGCTGCCAGTATGCTTTCTGTATCTATGGATTTATGTACTGTGGACATTTCCCATCAACGGAGTCAAGCACTGTGTGCCCTTTTGTGACCAGCTGCTTTTGCTCAGCATCATGTTTTCAAGGTTCATCCAAATTGTAGCATATGTCAGTATTTCATCCCTTTTTGCCTGAATCATATTCCAGATACACCACATTTTATTCATCTTTTCATCAACGGATGGACATTTGGGTTGTTTCTACCTTTTGGCGATTATGAATAGTGCTGCTGTGAACATTCATGTACCTGTTTTTGTGTGGACACATGTTTTCATTTCTCAGACCCTACAAGTGGAATTGGTGGGTCATATGGTAACTATGTTTAACTTATTGAGGAACTGCCAGACTGTTTTCCACAGTGGCTGCACCATTTTACATTCTTACCAGCAATGCACAGGGTTCCAATTTCTTCACATTCTTGCCAACACTTGTTATTACGTGTTTCTCTGATTACAGCCATCCACAAAATAATTTTTATAGACATCTTATTTATCCTCACATTCAACCCTGTGAGCCTTTATTTTTTTATTTTATTTTTTTACTGAAATACAGTTGACACAATATTATATTAGCCTCAGGTGTGCTATACAGTGATTTAACATTTGCATACATTATGAAATGATCACCAAGCTAAGTCCAGTAACCATCTGTCCCCGTACAAAGTTATTACAATACTACTGACCACGTTCCTTATGCCGTATATTACATCCCTGTGGCTTATTTATTTTGTAACTGAAGGTTTGTACCTCTTAATCCCTTTCACCTATTTCACTCCCCCTCCAGCGCCTCCCCTCTGGCAACCACCTGTTTGTTCTCTGTGTCTAAGAATGTTTTCATTTTGTTTTGTTCGTTTGGTTTGTTTTTTAGATTCCACAAATAAGTGAGATCACATGGCATTTGTCTTTCTCTGTCTGACTTATTTCACTTAGCATAATACTCTCTAGGACCATACATGTTGTTACAAATGACAAGATTTCATTCTTTCTTATGGCTGAGTAGTATTCCATTGTATATATGGACCGCATCTTCTTTATCCACTCGTCTATTGATGGACACTTAGGTCGCTTCCACGTCTTGACTGTTGTAAATAATGAATGCTGCTGTAAACAGAGGGGTACATGTATCTTTTCAAATGAATGTTTTTGTTTTCTTCACTGTGAGTTTCTATAGTAGGGCTCCCCAACTAAGGGAAACAGCCTCAGATTTGTAGAGTGAGTCGTCCAAGTCTGCTTGAAGAGATTCCTGTTTCAGATGTACAGGTTGCTCCGGGGCCAGGTGGTATCCCTGGGATCTTTGCAGCCCCTTTCTCCCTTGGAGAGAGGTTTGTCTTGATGGAGGGTCTGTCCAAAGATCAGGGACGTGACCTCCCTAGAGAGATTGGTATGTTTGGGTCCCTGCAGCCTGGGGCTGCCCCTCCACCCTCTCTCTCCTGTCTAGACAGTTAGAAGGTACAGTTCCAATGCCATTATTGTCTTCAGGGCATTTCTAACTTGGCCAGGTCCTAACGGCATAAATGCACGCCTTGCCCAGAGGAAGGACACCTTCTGTTTTTCGTAAAGTTGCCATGTGGGCTAGTGATGGCCTGATCTGCTCACCTGCCGATGCTTGGTTCTCATGGAGAAGGGAACAACCCAAAGCCCCAGCAGCCCTGAGCTGCTCCCGAGGGTCAGGGGGATAAGGCTGCTGCCCTGAGCAGGCTGTGACCCCACTCCGGCCCCTCACCCCCGCAGGAGCTGGAGCTGGTGGAGGACGTGTGGCGAGGGGAAGCGCAAGACCTCCTTTCCCAGATCGCCCAGCTGCAGGAGGAGAACAAGCAGCTCATGACCAACCTCTCCCACAAGGACGTCAGCTTCTCTGAGGAGGAGTTCCAGAAGCATGAAGGTAAGAGGAGGGGCCAGCATGGGAGGTGAGGGGAAGGCTCTTCCCACTGCCATCACCGGCATCACGAGTGACAGGAGCGTGGTCCCCAAGCAATGGTGTCTCATGTCATTTGGATTCTCACCATCACTCTGCCCGAGAGACATTGTGTAGCCTGGTGTACAGGTGATGAAACCGAGAGGTTCATTTGACAAATTGTTCAAGGGTCCTCACTTTTCCAGCCTCTTCTCTAGGCACTGGGTATACACATTGGGCAAGACAAAGCCACTGCCCTCGGGAAGCTTATGTTCTAGTGCAGAGGAGATAGGTGATAACTATGTAAACAGACAGATGACACAGTTCCAGATTCTGACCAGGGTTATGGAAGAACTAAAATCTGGGGGGGATATGATAGAGGTGACTTGGTGGGGTGCTTCTTTGCATATGGTGATCAAGGAGGGCCTCTCTGATGAGGTGACATTTGAGCCCTAATGAAGTCATGGAGTGAGCCATGCAAATATCTTGGGGGGAAAGCAGGTGCAAAGGCCCTGGGGCATGACTGTTTATGGAAACCAAGGAGACCAGTGTCACAGAAGATGATCAAGGCCAAGGGTGGTGAAAGATGAGGTCAGTGGGGTCAGCAGGGCTCAGATCACATAGCCCCTTAGAGGCCAAGGTTTGGATTTTATTCTAAGTGTGCTGGGAAGAAATTTGAGGTGCTTGTCACGGGTACACGTTTAACAATGAGCAACCCAGGGTGGCCACCCAGATCTGAATGGTGCTGGAGCCCCCCAACTGTCATTCATCCTACGAACAGTTATCTAGAACCTTGACTCCAGGCCTTTGCCGGTGCTGGAGAAGCAAAGACAGACAGAGGGGTTTGGCCTGGGCCCCCGTGCGCTGCACCAGCTGTGGGCCCCCCAGCAGCCTCCTTCTCATTCAGAGGCTGTCTCTGATCGCAAGGAATCTCAGGCCCAACTCTTTAGTCTGGGTGAACTTCCTGGGTCCCTATACAAGCCCCCTCCTCACGTTTGTTGGGAAGGGGGTGGACTTCCGTGGGGGCCTGAAGTTCAGAACTCGTGTTTACCACTCTGTGAGAATAAGTAGCACACTGTATAAGGACCGTAGGGACCAAGGGAAAAGGAATTGTTTGACCTGGTTGCTGGCATCCTCTTTTCCTTGGGTTTCCTTTGTTGAGATCTGAGTCGTGCAGTGAAAACAAAAGTCGTAGTGGTGATAAGTGTTGGTGCTAGAGCCAGACTGCCCAGTGTGAATCCTAACCCCATACTTACTGGCTGAGGGACCTTGATCAAGTCACTTGACCTTGGTGTGCCTTAAGTGCCCCCTGTAGAAATGGGGGCCATAACCATATCTCCCTCATAAAGTTGTTGTGAGGATTAAATGAATTAATACGTGTAAACTGAATAGTACCTGGTGCCCACACTCAGCAAGTGTTAACTGTTGTTACTATGAGCTGTTGTTATCGAATCCAATCTCCTTTTTGAAAAGAGGAGGAAAGCAGGCTGAGAGGGTGCATCCTTCCTCTTTCTGGCTCAGCAGCACTCCGTTGTCTGTTTGGACCACGTGTTGTTTATCTGTTCATCCACCGATGGACGCTGAGCTGTTTCCAACTTTTGGCTATTGTGGAGGGTACCGCTGTGAAGGTTCTGGTACCTTCATGTTTTTGTGTGGACATGTGTTTTCGGTGCTTTGAGGTATATACCTCGGCATGGAATTGCTGAGTCCTGTGGTAACTGTGTTGAACTTAGTGAGGTGCCCACAGCCATCTTTTGTTTTTTTTGTTTTTGTGGTATTTTAGATGTTAGTCGTCTCCCTAATTAATATCGTTTGGAATCCTACCTTATGGTCTGGTGGGTTTTATTTTATTTTGTTTATTTATTTATTCATATTTATTACTTATTTGGTTGTGCTGGGCCTTAGTTGCAGCTTGCCGCTCCTTACTTGTGGCATGCGAACTCTTAGTTGTGGCACACATGTGGGATCTAGTTCCCTGACCAGGGATCGAACCCGGGCCCCCTGCATTGGGAGCGTGGAGTCTTATCCACTGCGCCACCAGAGATGTCCCCATAGCCATCTTTTGGTCTGTGACATTTCTGCAGGGCACCCAGAGGCCTCCAGGGGTGACCTTGGAACTCCCCCTGCCTACCCCAGTGATGCCCTAGAGGCCGCAGGTCCCCCATGCATGGGCCCGAACACCCTAAGGCGCTCGGTTGCATGTGTGTGCACACGGCACCCCCCGTGTGGGAGAGCTTGGCCTCGGCTCTCTGCATCCCTGCTGGGCTCTTCATCAGACAGCCCACACGGGTACCATCTGAGACGCACTTAATTGGCATCTCGCGTGGGTCCAGCTCCCGGGTGTGAGCTCGGGGAGCCTCCGGTGTTCGGTGTTTAGCTCGACAGCAGCCCTCACCCTAGTGGAGAAACTGGGCAGATGCCAGGCATGCCTTTCACAGTTATTTTTATTCTGCCTGGGAAGCCATGGGAACACAATAAGGGCAAAAGCATGTCTTCCACCTGTGAGAGGAACAGACACTGGGCCGGGGGGTCCCTGGGAGGAGATGCAGCCCATGAAGTTAGACTGTGTGTCTGGTACCACTTTAGGCAGTGGGGCAAGGCCTAGGGGCAAACAGGATTTAGGGGGTGAGTGGGCTGGGATGCCCGCTTAGAAGAGCCAAGCTGCCCGGAACAGTGCTGCTTTCCCAGCCGTTAATACTGGGCACTGCAACGTAGAGAACAAGCGTATGGCTACCAAAGGGGGAAGGGGGAGTAGGATGAATTGGGAGAATGGGATTGACACATATACACTACTCTGTATAAAATAGATAACTAATGAGAACCTACTGTATAGCACAGGGAACTCTACTCAGTGTTCTGTGGTGACCTAAAAGGGAAGGAAATCCAAAAAAGAGGGGATATATGTGTACGTATAGCTGATTCACTTTGCTGTACAGCAGAAACTAACACAACCATGTAAAGCAACTATACTCCAATAAAAATTAATTTAAAAAAAATACTGGGCAGTGTGCTCAGAGCACCCGCCAGTCTCCTGTCTCCCCCTCCCTGGAAGTCTCCAGATTAAAAAGCACTTCCCTACTTCTTGTATTTGGAAATCGTCTTGTCAGCACCTGGAAACTACTAGTTAGCACATGCGGAGATGAATTACAGATATGGAAGCAATTGGACTGGAGGCATGGGGGTGCAGAGATACACTCAAGCGTCTGGAAAAAAGTCCTTGGGCTCTGGACAAACAACTCTGTCACGAGGAGAGGATGAAAACTGACCACGTATCCATTTTCTGAAGGGCAGCTGAGAACAGCACTGTCCAAAAAAAGTGTAAGGCAATGCACTGGTTGCTCTTCCAGTTGTGTACATATTTCTCCTTTTACCAAAAAATGTAAGGCAAGCCACAGATATGACTATGATTTTTCTAGGTGTAGCATTAAAAGAAAGTGAAAATGACAGGTGAAAGTAATTTCATTAATATTTTTATTTAACCCAGTAGATCCAAGATATCATCCTTCAACATGTAATCAATTTAAAAATGATCAGTTGGGGGGAATTCCCTGGTGGTCTAGTGGTTAGGACTCTGTGCTTTCACTGCTGAGGGCCTGGGTTCAATCCCTGGTCAGGGAACTAAGATCCTGCAAGCCTCGTGGTGCAGCCGAAAGAAATAAATAAAAATTTTAAAAATTAAAAATTAAAATTATCAGTAGGGTATTTTGCATTTTTTTCATATTAAGTCTTTGAAATCTGGTGGGTTATTCATTTATATATAATATAATATATATATGTATGTTTTACTGTGATAACATACACGTAAAATTTCTCACCTTAAGCTGGGACAAAGTGAGAGAGCGGCATGGACATATATACACTACCAAATGTAAAATACATAGCTAGTGGGAAGCAGCCGCATAGCACAGGGAGATCAGCTCTGTGCTTTGTGACCACCTTGGGGGGTGGGTTAGGGAGGGTGGGAGGGAGGGAGATGCAAGAGGGAAGAGATATGGAGACATATGTGTAGGTATAACTGATTCACTTTGTTATAAAGCAGAAGCTAACACACCATTGTAAAGCAATTGTACTCTAATAAAGAGGTTAAAAAAAAATTCTCATCTTAACCATTTCTAAGTGTATAGTTCAGCAGCGTTAAGAACATTCACATTGTTGTACAACCAGACTCCAGAACTGATCTTGCAAATGTAAACCTCTGTCCCCATTAAACAATAACTCTCCATTTCTCCCTCCCCCAGCCCTTGGCAACTGGCATTCTACTTTCTGTCTCTATAATTTTGACTACTCCAGGTAGCTCACATAAGTAGAATCATACAATATTTGTCTTTTTGTGACTGGTTTTTTTTCACTGAGCATAATGTCCTTGAGTTTCATCCATGTTGTAGTTGTGTCAGAATTTCCTTCCTTTGTAAGGCAGAATAATATCCCATTGAATGGACAGACCACATTTTGTTGATCTACCCATCTGTTGATGGCTGATGTGTATTTTACATTTTCAGCACATGTCCATTTGTACGTGCCCTATCTCAGGTGCTCCATTGCCACTAGTGACTGCTGAGTTGGACACACAGAGCTAGAATATTCTTGGAGATGTGCCTGGGTAGAGCAGTCTATTATAAGGGGAATGGGCTGTGGAGTGAGGTGGACCTGAGTTTAAATCTCAGACCACTCTTACCAATGGGTCACCTTGTTCCCATCCTCAGGTTCCTCACCTGTAAGGTGGGTGTGGCAACTCCTGACACCCAGGACTGTTGAGAAAAATATATACAGCATCAAACGCAGAACTAGTCAATAAAAGATAGCCCTGGGGGGCTTCCCTGGTGGTGCAGTGGTTGAGAGTCCGCCTGCCGATGCAGGGGACACGGGTTCGTGCCCTGGTCTGGGAGGATCCCACATGCCGCGGAGGGACTGGGCCCGTGAGCCATGGCCGCTGAGCCTGCGCGTCCGGAGCCTGTGCTCCGCAACGGGAGAGGCCACAACAGTGAGAG